ACAGGTGAATCGACGGCTGCGGCAACGCTGAAGCAGAGAATCAAAAAAAAAAGACAATGACTAGAATGACTTATATGATACAACCGTATGTAGAGGCTACAGGTGAATCATCACACGCACAAAAAGACAAAAAGACCGAGCGGCTGTAGGCCGCTGTTGGCCTCTCTCTAATCAGGCGCACTCTCATTCCTCTTACCGTCTGCTATCTCCTCTACATACGAACTCTCTCGCTAGGTCGCAACAGCGTACAGTCTTTGCGTGCAGTAACTCTTCTTATCTTGAAATGTCGTTGGTAGAGCTTTCTCCTATATGCTTACCCTTTCAATATGGTGCTTTCTTGAGTTACCCAGTCATCCTTAGGGTCTACTGTCACATTGGCATCTGCAGCATCATTGGCGGCTAGGTCTATGCTTAGAGTCCACTAAAAAATTTTTTTACTAAAAACTGATGACTGGAAGCAAAACTCACGAAATCATTTTTCTTAAAATGCTCTACAACAACAGTACCGAGAGCACCGCGTCCACCATAGACTATTACTTTGCCAGCAACCATATTAGCGGCTCTAAATTTACATTTTTTCGAATGGTATTTTTAGGAGACGTCCGAACGATTAATTTTTGCTGAACAAATGTATGCAATATATGATAGAATAGAATGTAATGCAAAAACAATAAAAATGCCAATCAAATAAAATAACTGTCACTGTCGCTAAATCCATATCATGTTCCCCAAAGAATTCAGCGTACATCAAGTCTATTTATTAGGTTGAGCCCAAAATTCTGTCGCACCATATTCAAAATCGTAACTTCTTCCTATCACGATATTCTTGCATGGCATCAATTTTATTAAAGGTACAAACCGTGTGCTTTCTAACGACACCTTCAACACTCTTTAGCATTCTCTGAGAGCAGAGATAAAATTAAAAGAAGGAAATCACTTCAATTTCCGCACTTTTAGAGGCAAGCTCGTTAAAAATTCAAAACCTGTGCCATAAAACCAAAAACAGCAACTAACCTAAGTTTTTTGACCTCCTCTTTCTAGCTGAGCAAA